CCTGCGGGTGGCTGGGCCCCTACAGGTGGCTGGGTTCGTGTGGGTGGCTGGGCCCCTTCGGGTGGCTGGGCCCCTGCGGGTGGCTGGGCCCCTACGGGTGGCTGGGCCCCTACGGGTTGCTGGGCCCCTTCGGGTGGCTGGGTTCGTGTGGGTGGCTGGGCCCCTGCGGGTGGCTGGGCCCCTGCAGGTGGCTGGGTTCGTGTGGGTGGCTGGGCCCCTGCGGGTGGCTGGGTCAGACCTGCTGCCGTAGGCTGAGCTAGGCTGAGCGGGCGGAGGGCTGAGACCACGTGGCCTGGGCGGCAGACGGCTTGGGGCTGGGGAGAGGGACAGGGCTGTGGGATGGGGTGGGGGGGGGGGGAGGGCTGCAGGCGTGTAACCCACAGTGCCAGTGTGCCCTGGGGGTGGGGCCGCCCCTCAGGTGAGGTGTCCCCAGGAACAAGGCCCCACTCTCAGATATCGAGGGCAGGGAAATCAAGGGGGCTGCTGCCGGACCCCTACACTCCCTGGTCCCCCAAGGAAGCCTCCCCGGGGTCAGTTGTGTTTGTGGGAGCCCCCACCACAGTTGTCCCATTGGGGTCAGCAAGACCCCCAACTCCTTGTACTGTTCGCAGTCACCTGGAAGGCCTAACCCCCAAGATGGCCCACCTTAGATCACTATCCTAGGCCACAGCCTACCCCGAACTAACCCCAGCTCCCCCACTGTTTGTTCTGCACAGAAGCAGCCAGTGACACCAAGGTGGCCAGACTGCGGGGGGTGGGGGTGGATAGGGCAGTTCTCTGGGACCCCCCTCCAGCTGTTCAGGAGATCCCCCTTCCCAGCTGTCCAGGAGCAGCCCCCCACAGCTATCCAGAAGCAGCCCCCCCAGTTGTCCAGGAGCAGATCCCCTAGCTGTCCAGCAGCAGCCCCCACAGCTGTCCAGGAGCAGCCCCCCCAGCTATCCAGAAGCAGATCCCCTAGCTGTCCAGGAGCAGCCCCCCACCACAAGCTGTCCAGGAGCAGCCCCCTCAGCTGTCCAGGAGCAGACCTGGCTGGGCCCTCACCCCCACTCACCTCCTGAGGCGGCTCCTCCTCCTCCCCCTCCATGGCTGCAGCTCCCTGCTCGATGGGTGAGGCCTGAGGGGTGAAGACAGGTCTCACCAGGAGCCCAAGGGCCTCGCACAGGCCTCGTGGCGGTTAGAGGCCTTCCTGCTCAGAGCCTGGTCTCCCCCACACACACACCCCCCCAGAGCCCCCTGCCCACATGTCACAGGCAGGCTGCTGGGGCCCAGGTCCTCCGGGTGGGACAGGAGGGAGAGCCACAGGCTCAGCAGCGAGTGCGCACACCAACCACAATGAGAAGACAGAGGATGGGGCGTCCCCTGGGCATGGGGCATCCCCAGAGAGGCTGACCCCTGAACCCCACTGCACTGCCAACTCAGTGGAGAGAGGGGGATGCGGTGCACACAGCAAAACCCCAAGCACAGCCAGCTCCACGGGGTGGGAGGACTGGGCAGCAGCTCGAAATGCCGGAGCGGCTGCCATCCCCGACACTGGGGGATACAGTTCACGAAGCCCCCGGAGAAAGCGGAAGCAGCACGCCTGGCTGTCAATCATCGGCCTGACCCCTGGGGGTGTCAGTTATCGGCCTGACCCCTGGGGGGCTGTCGCGGGAGTCTCTGAGTACCATCAGGTGACTGCTGTGTACCCCAGGACAATGACCACTTCACAGAAACCTTCACCCGTCCTCGGAGACCACAGCGCAGGTAATGAGGTTGATATTGTTGTTGACATCAATACAGGTATCGACACAGATGAGAGAGGGTTGGGGAAACAAAGTCATGTCAACATCATCAGAACCAAGACTTTTTCCCACTAAAGACACAGGAGTATAGCACCAACAAAGGTGGGGTAGAGAACGGATGCCCAGGCGCGGTGTAGCCCTGCACGCCGTCTGCACACCACTTCTCCCAGGAGCTCCTTGGGGAAACAGCACAGAAGCCCTGAACATCATTTTCCACGAGAGAGAGAGATGAGGGGGTAACATAAGAGAGGAGAGTGACAGAGACAGACCACCAAAGGCCTGGCCTGCCAGGAGGCTTCAGAGGCCGCCCTGGCCGAGGGACCAGCCTGCACACCGAACGTGGCAAAGGGAGAGCCTCCGCTGTCCTTCCAGAACTGCCCCTCAGGGTAGCCCGACAGTTGGTGGAAGCTTCTCTTCCTGGAAGTTTCACTAACAAATGAAGAAGGAACCGTGTGTCTGGCAGCCCCACGATGGCCAGGCTCCAGACCAAGGCGATGCTGCCAAAGGTGCTCCACAGCCTCCCTGTGAGAAGTGAACCTGGGGAGGGTCCTCCAGAGCACTAGGCGGGATCATCAGAGCAGGCCCCGGGGTCTACCTGCGAACCCCGAGAGTCACGGGGAGCTCACTTACACCCCAAGGGCAGCATGAGGACAGGACCGCTCCTATTACCCTCCAAGGAAGATGACCCGGGGTTCGTCAGCAGGGGCCTGCGGCTGCACTTAAACCCAATTGAGAAAGCTTTAAAATGACACACGAGTGGGAGAAATGGGAACGTTGGTGGGCTTTCTGACCATGACAAGGCACTGTGGATGTTTCAGTCTTTGGAGGTGTGTATTTGCGGATGGGACGATATGACGTCTGGGATTGCCTCCCGAGAGCCCACTGTTGGGGGCAGAAGTGGGACAAGCAAGTGGGACTGGCCTGTGGGGTCGTCACAGGCCCCACTCTTCCTGCCAGTCGCAGGTTTTCAGAAGGACGAAGTATGAGTAAAAATGATCCTATCTAGGGCTCCTCTTCCTAGGTGGGGGTTGGGCCAGCAGCTACCCCTGGGGCCCTGAACAGTCACGTCTGCAGCAGCATGAGAGCCACCCCTGCCCAGGTTCCAGCCTTGGGTTTGCAGTGAGGCCCAAGTCACCCCACTACTCAGAGCTCTGCTGTCTGGCTGCAGGCGGCTTGGCGGGGGCGGGTGGGGGGCCAGGAACCCTGCCGGGGGCAGCTTAGAGGAAGGGTCCGGAAGAGGCACTGGCCTGGGGGAGGCAGGAGGTGGGGGAGTAAGGAAGGGTGACTCAGCAGGGTGCCTCAAGCCCCAAGCCAGCTTCTGGCCTGGGGTGGGGGGCACAGCAAGGTGTCCAGGGAGGGGCCCTGCCTCCACCCCAGGCGCTGAGGCCAGACGTGCTTCCCTGGCAGGACCTGTTCGGTCTCCTGGGTGGTCACTCTCCCCCCGCCCCCAAGTGCTACAGAGGTCAGGTTATCTGCGGAAGTGACAGCAGCCGCGCTGGTCCCACACTGGATGCCGGGCCAGGCTGTGGGCTCATAGAAGCCTCCTCCCAGGGACCCCTTCCCTGTCTCCCAGATGGAAATGCCAGAACTGGCTTGCGGCGCAATGGATAGCTTCTGTGTGGCCTTTCTAGCCATGGTCTCGTAACTCCAACCCAAGTGATAGGGCAGGACTGTGCAGATAGGGTAATTGTGGCCCACCAAAAGGATTGGACAGTTATACCATCCTGCTGGGTTTGAGGTGAGCCACCCCAGAGGCAGGAAAGAAGTTCCCACCACCTCCAAGGAAGAACAGCCAGGAGCTAGCACGTCCTTTGGACCCAGGGTCCTTGTGCTGAGAAGCTACTGGACGGAGACAGAGAGCGAGCTGTAACCCTGAAGACGGCAAGAAGCGGTGGCAGAGACTCGGCAGCAGGAGATGGCATGGTGGGCTTCCCAGCCCATGGAGAGAGAAAGCTGAGGGTTTTGGGCAGAGGCCGAGAGCCAAGGAGAGGTGTGCCTGCGAACATAGCTGGGAAGGGGCTATCCTGATGGAAGAACTGCATCCTCTGTCTGAACTGTAACTGTTACTTCCCTAATAAACACCATGATCCTGACTATTATTTGTGAGTTCTGTGTGGCCACTGCAATGAATTATCAACCCAGCAGAGGAGTAGAGAGTGCCGTGGGAGGGACAGTTGGTGTCAGAATTGGTAAAGATGGCAGAGAGAGGAGACATGTCTGACCCCGGCCTCATAAGAATCAGCCTTGGGCTGTTGATTTTAAGTCTCCTTCCCCTTTATAAAGTTAGAGGAGGTCAGACACCGCCTCCTGCCCCCAAGTTGTTTTCACACAGCTGAACACAAACAGTGAGGGGGTTGGGAGGTGGCTGTTGACCCTCAGGCTTCGGCCTCCAGGCTCCCACACCCATGAGGAGCAGCCTGGTGACCAGGTCTTCACACAGTCCAGGGCAGGGACCCAGCGAGTCTGACTGCCAAGTACCACAAAGACAGCCACAGAGTCAGGAAAACTTCTTAAAAAACACCCTAGCCAGCAGCAGCAAATGGGAAGTGACCACGTTGCCCTCAGCCACCCACCCTCTGGGGTGTGGAGGCCGTGGTGAAACCACACCCAGGAAGCCAGCCGGGCCGACCTGTGCCTGCAGCAGGGACAGGGCAGGCCTTGCTGTGCCAGGGCCCGAGCCACAGGCCTCGTCACCCAGCAGCCCTGGGCTGCCCCACCGTGAAGAGGCCAGGCACAGGGCCTCTGGGCTGGGCCTGAGCCCACAGTCCTCCTGCCCCATGGTTGGGGACACGTGTGCACACACAGTGCCCTCTGGGTCGGCCCTGAGAACCGACAGAGGCATGCTCTGAAACGGTGCAGGGTGGGGTTGGGGGGAGCCTGGATAGAAGCTCCCAGCCCTGGCCCTGCAGCCCTGACCAAAGGCCTGGAAGCAGTGGGGGTGGTAGTGGTGGTGGCTGAGGTTCCAATGGCACTGTGAGCTGCTTCCGCCCAGCCCCGCCTGCCTGGAGGCAGGCTCCCATAATGAAGTTTCAATGGGCGACTGCTCCTCCTCTCGCCTGGCTCACCATTATGCGTCCCGAATTTACGGCTGGGACCAAGCCTCAGTCTCCCTGCCCCAGGTGAGCCTGTGTCCCCCCACTTTGTCCTCCCGCACACCTCTGGGCTGACAAGCCCCAGCAGCTCAACACCACAGCACGGAGCGGCCTACCCAGACACCTTCCGTGTTCTGGTCTGTCCTTTCCAGGGGGCGCCAGCCCATTACAGACACCCACAGGCCTCTGAAGCCTCGCTCCAGGGGACAAAGGCCTCCCTCGTTCACGAGGCCTGTTCTGGGGGCCGACTGTGGAGCAGCCTGAGGCAGGACACTTGTGCACTCTAGCCGCTCTCCCCTCCCAGCTCTGTGCCCAAGCAGGGCTGCCTGGACCCGCTGGGCCCCTCCCACAGAGCCCCGATGTCACAGCAGAGCATTCGGCCCACGGAGCACAGCTCGTGGAGACGCTCGGGAGCAGGCCAGTGTGCCAGCCAGTGCACCAAGTGGGTCAGCAGCCAGCTACCACAGGGAGGGACCGGCCTGGGTTGGTCCTAGGTGGCTACTTAGTGCTATCCAGCCGTGGGCACAGATGCCCTGATGGTCAGCACCTGCCCCACACTTTCTCCCCATTGCAAACTGTGGGCCACATTCCCTGCACCACCCCTGGGCCTCTGGGCTTCCCTCTGAGGGACCTGGTCTCCAGCACTCCCTGCTGCCCCCCGATGCAGGCAGGGTGGATACCCAGATGCAGCACCTGCAGTCAGGAGGCACTCACTGGGTGACCTTCAAGATACCTGTTCTCCAGATGCAGGTTCTTCATCCATGGAGAAGGACCACATTCCTGTTCCCTAGCTTTAGGGCAGTGCTGTTCTCTGCCTTTGAAACCCTAATGCTCCACACAAGTGAGAGTGCCAGATCGACCCACAGGCTGCCTGGAGGCTCAGGCCAGAAATGAATTTCAGATACTTGGGAGAGGAGTGCTCTCAGCCGTGGAGAACGACCTGGGAGAGTGCCCTCTGCCCTCCAGAATGAGAGGAGGCGCTGGGCTTGACAAGGACTCGTGTTAGGGACCCCACTGGGGTGCAGGGCATGCAGCCCTGGACACAAGTCAGAGTAACAGTAAACGTCCAACGTGTGATGTGTTATTAGCATCTGGTAAGGCTCTGCTGGGCATTCTTACAGAGCAGACCCAAGGACCTCGGACCGTCCTGGGGGAACACCAGGCCACAGGCCCACAGCTGCACATCTCAGAACATGCCTTCCCTGCCCACCAGGTGCCCTGTCACCGCTCTAAAACTGGAAACCAGAAACTGCCTCCCAGACCCCAGCCTGGTTTCCCAGAGCTGGCCGGGGGCTGGCCAGCACCAAAGGGGGTTCTTGAAGAAGGCTCTGTCTCCCAGCCAACCCACCCAAGGCTGGCTTAGAAAGCCAGAGGGTCCTGAACCCAAAACACATGCAAGCCACAAAGCCCCTCCCTGCAGACAGAAATAACAGGATGGGGTGGGGCAGGGTGCCCAGAGCCCTGACATCCCTGCCCCTCATCTCTGGAGCCTGCGGGCCCCTGGCCACAGGAGCCCCTCCTGGGTCTGGCGGGAATTGCTTCCTGCAAGCCTGGCAGAGTCCCGGCAGGGGGAGGGGATGCAAACCCTCACACCTGAGCTAAAGCCTGGAAGGCACCCTGCCCAGCTCTCCAGGGACCCCCACTCTGACCACGGCTGCTGAGCGCGGGCCCCTCAGCATCAAGGCCTCCTGCAGAGCTGACCTGCCCCGGGGCAGCGCCCTCTCCCATGCCCACTGGAAGGAAGGCAAACAGCAGCAAAGAAGACAGAGACTCTGAGACAGGGAGCCCTCCCCCCTGACACACCTCGGTCCTGACGGGCTCTTCTGAGACGCTACTTGTTCCTGTGACACTGAGACAGCCGGGCCTCCGTCCTCCCTGTGACAACTTTTAGAAAGACACTCGCTGAACCCCCGGGAGTGTGCACAGGTCTCCACGCCGCCTCACGGCCCCTGGCGGGGGCCGCAGTGCAGGACAGGCCCCGCTCTTCTGCCCATATGGCAGTCTGCTTTGCTCAACCTGAGGGCAAAGGCGTCTGACACGACAAAGTTCCAAGATCTGGGGACTTGCCGCCTTCGTGCCGTGCCGGGGGCCCGGGGGTTGGGGCAGGGGACCTGCCTCTGGGCGTCCGGGGCCTCTCAGCGGCCGCCCCGGGGGCGC